ACGTAGTAATCCAACACTGTGGGCACCTGTTATTATATTTATCATTTCAAGTGCGTGCTATAACTTTGCCTCGTTAACAATTGTGAAATACTCGTCTTCAGCAAATCGATTACTTGCCGATGGCCTGCGTATTCTGCTCATTTGGTGGATGGCATTCTTGTTGGAATGGGAAATGTTCAATCTTATCACTATTATGGGTTTCATAATACTACAAATGGGAACGATCGCTTACCGTAATGCGATCTTCATCGAATGGTATCGCTCTTTACTAGCGCGTTTGATACGCTGATCTAACCGTCGAAACGGGCAACGATGGTGGTGAAGCTGGCGTGTCGACTAATCGTCCAGCAGATGTTATTTAAAATATTGCAGCTGTAATGGCAGATACACGCATTGTTGTGATATGTTGAGGTGTAAAATCGATCGGTTCTTGAATTTATGACCAAAAGCGACTAGTGCCCATTTGTAGTAATTTAAGTTTTGTAACCTATGTATTTAAGAATGTGAAATTGCGATTTTCTTTATTTGAATTAACAAATAGATAAATATCTGTGGCGCCTGTGTATTAAATAGATATTATAATTTGAAATTGAAAAATTGTCTAATTTTGTTCCGTAAATTATCTACGTTGTATTCTTAACTTTTGAAAATAAATAATTTTTCTCTACGAGTAGGGAAAGGTAACCAGTCATTCTTTAATCCTGATACACCGACAAGTTGGTGATGCACCGGAGTCACAGATATTTTGTTAGATAATATTAAAAACCGTACTGATTCGTCTGACTATTTAGTGGAAAAATTAAGCGACATTTGATTTAAGATTGATTAATGATTAACCAAAAATTTGAAAATATACATGCATACTTATTGAGAAATATACAATAAATACTATTAAGCCCCATAAAAAAAAAAAAAACAATTATATATATTTATGTATATTCCACCTAGGGCTGTGCGATTAATTGATTACTCAAAATTTTAATTAATCATAAAGTAAATAACTCAATTATTCGATTAATTGGAAATTATGATTACTCAAAAGTTCAGTTACTTGAGTAATCAAGATTTTTGATTAACCAAAAACAAAAATATTTGAGTAAAATGCTTTATGATTAATCAACATTTCGAGTAAAATGAGTAATCAACATTTCAACTCTTTACATATGTATAAAGTAGTTAAAGTTCCTTGATACTTTGAAAACAATGTTTCTGTTTTCAAAGATTAAAGCAAACAATTTTTTTCATATACAGAATGTAAAAAAGAAAATAAGCTTTTTCCAAAGCAAACTCTATTAACGAGCAAAATTATTTTTTTAGAGTAATCATATTTCAAGTAACTCGATTAATCATCGTTTTGAATAATCAAAATCTTGATTACTCGAGTAATTGATTAACCGAATAATTGATTAACCAACTTGCTCGAGTATTCGAATAATCGCACAGCCCTAATTCCACCACATCTCATAACAATAAGACGTTCCTTTTAAACAGTTCTTGTATGCTATCTGGATTCTGAGTTGCCCTTATATCATAATGGGACATGGTATCAAGGTATTAAGATTCGGTTTTTTTTTTTCTAAATGCGGGGAACGGGGTTCATCTTAACTTTGAGTGTTCCGCATCTCGACTCCCTCGGTGCAGGGCGGGAGTAGAACCAACTTTGGAATTGGTCTTGTAGTTTGGCCCTTTGCCGTATCAACGTCCACTACACGTATTCGGTTGTCTGGACCAGGGTGTAGTTTGGATATTCTTCCCAGTCTCCATTCATTGGGTGGGAGGTTTTCTTCTTTAATGACGACTAGGTCCCCTTGTTTTAAATTGGCTTGTGGATGTTTCCACTTGACGCGTTTCTACATCTCGGTTAGGTACTCCGATTTCCATCTTCTGCAGAAAGTCTGGTGTAATGCTTTCAATTTTTCCCAACGGTTTACGATAGAGGCCCGAGTCTCGTTTACGTCGATTTCTGGTGGGGCAAGTAGATGCCCACCAATAAGGAAGTGATGGACTAAGTGGTCGCGAGTTGAGACAAGACTCCACCCGGCATAGAAGAGTACTAAACTCTTCAAAAGTGAATTTGTGGTCCGACGCGATCTTTTTGAAGTGGCTCTTAAAACTTTTAACCCCAGCTTCCCACAGTCCACCCATGTGAGGGGCTGCTGCAGGTATAAAATGCCACGATAGAGCTTGGTGGCAGTATTTAGACAGGGCCTGATTGCGCGAGTCGGCCACGAAGGCTTTAAATTCGGATCGCAAAGACCGAGAGGCTCCGACAAAGTTAGTTCCATTGTCGGAGTAAATATTCTTTGGGCACCCTCGTCTAGCAATAAATCTGGCAAATGCTGCTAGGAAAGAAGCAGTACTAAGGTCACTAGTTGCTTCCAGGTGGATGGCCTTAGTAGAGAAACAGACGAAGAGACAAACGTAGCCTTTTGACAGACGACATCCTCGACCGCGGTAGGTTTTAATGTCAAAAGGCCCCGCGAAATCTACACCGGTGTTTGTGAACGCACGTGAAAATGTAGTGCGTTCAGTTGGAAGATTCCCCATAAGCTGGGTTTGTGATCGTTTCCTGTGGATCGTGCAGATTTTACAGTTGTGGATGATGGACCGTATCATATTTTTTACTCGCGGGATCCAGTATTGCGTACGTATAAGACGCAGCATCAGTTGGTTTTCCCCGTGTAAGGAGATTTTATGGACGAACTGGACAATAAGCCGAGTTAACCTACATTCATATGGGAGAATAATTGGATGGCGCTCACTGTAGGCCAAGTCAAGGGATACGCCAAGACGACCACCAGCCCTCATAACATCATCCTTGTCGATGAATGGATTAAGGGGCAAAATTTCGCTTTTCCCTTCGATGGATTTACCTGATTTCAATTGTTCATATTCTTCTCTATAGTGTCGTTGTTGATAAATGGTTATTAAGCATTGTGTCGTTGTTTTAATTTCGGCCGGCGAAATTAATGGAGACTCCGCTTTAAAAGAAGATTTTGTACTGGGGTGAGTTCTTTGATAGAATCTCATAATATATGAGACTAGTTCACTAGCCGAGAGTCCTCTACTGGCCAGATCTGCTGGGTTTGATGCCGAATCCACATGACGCCAGTTGTCGGTTCCCACCTTGTCTACAATTCTTGTTATTCGGTGAGCAACGAAGGTTGACCACGAACACGGTGGTTTCCGGATCCATGCTAGGACTATTGTCGAATCTGTCCAGAGATTTATTTTCATATGTACAAGACTCAGATTTTCGACGACTGCTTCTAAGGTTTCCGAAAGCAAAACTGCGCCGCATAGTTCTAAACGGGGTAACGATACTGTTTTGACGGGCGCTACCTTTGTTTTTGCCATTAGAAGGCTGACCACAACTCTTTCTGCAGTCTTAACTCTCAAGAAAACAGTAGTCGCGTATGCTTTCTCCGAAGCGTCGCTGAATCCATGTATTTCGGCGTCATCTGTTTGCGTAAAGTGAACCCATCTTGGTATGCGAATGGTATTAATGTTCATGTAGTCGTGCATAAATGCCTGCCAACGATCTAATGTGGTCGTAGACACGGTATCGTCCCAACCACTTCCCTCCAACCAAATATTTTGCATAATGATCTTGGCGACAATTACCACTGGAGCGAGCCAACCGATCGGGTCAAACAGTTTGGCGATAGCTGAAAGTATCGCTCTTTTGGTGATGACGGCACGATTTTCTATTGGTTTTGCTGTGAAATAGAAGTAGTCAGATTTGGCATTCCATCTGATGCCAAGTGCTTTTACCGCACTAGAATCTTCAAACTGTAGAAAATCTTCGGTGAGTAAATGAGATTTCGGTATACCTTCAAGTATTTTACTGGAGTTCGAAGTCCACTTTCTTAACGGGAACCCTGCTGAATCCAGTACCTGTAGGATTTCTTCTCGAGCTTTAATCGCTGCTTCGATGCTGTGTCCTCCAGCAAGTACGTCGTCCACGTACATACACTTTCGCAAAATTTCGGATGCTATTGGAAACGAGCTCTCAACCTCATCAGCTAGTTGATGCAATGTCCTTATCGCGAGATAAGGAGCACAGTTGATGCCAAAAGTCACCGTTTTTAATTCGTATAAACTAATTGGGTCTCTTGGGCAGGTGCGAAAAACTATGCGCTGATATTTCGTTTGATTCTCGTTTACGTATATTTGCCGATACATTTTCTCTATATCGCTGTTGAAGACGTATTGGAACAGTCTCCAACGGAGTATGAGGATAGTTAAATCGGCCTGAAGTACAGGACCTTGAAGGAGGACGTCATTTAAACTCATACCGTTGGCGGTTGGGCATGATGCATTAAATACCACTCTGACCTTTGTTGTGGTACTCTCCTCTTTTAACACAGCATGATGTGGTAGGAAATAACAGTCGGTTGACTCTGGTGATACGGTAGTTGAAATCTTTGACATGTGGCCCAATATTTCATATTCACATAAAACCCGGTTGTACTCTGTTTGAAGAACAGGTTTTTTTGCTAGTCGCGGCTCATTCCGGTAGAACTGAGAGCAAGCGCTTGTTAGTGATGGTCCTAGACAAACATTATTTGGAAAATCTTGCCTGAAGGGTAAGGAGACAATGTACTTCCCACCATCATTTCGCTTTGTCGTTGCTTTGAAAAGCCTTTCACAATATATGTCAACGGCATCCATACTTCCTTTCTTGGGGATATCTTCTAGCTCCCAGAAGGCCGTTAACTGTTTATCCACAGTAACTTCATTAAAAAATGATACTCTTTTATTGGTTGGATTCGATGATTCCGCTTGACCGGTCAGTATCCAACCGAACACGGTTTCTTGTGCGAGAAGTGTATTTAGGATGTTCTTCTTTAAACCGCTTAAAATGATTTGGGGGTAGACGTCTCCGCCTAAGACGAGGTCAACGGGCTCGTTGACGAAGAACCTCTTGTCCGCCAAAATCAAGTCTGGGAATGCTTGCCGCGTCATTGCGCTTACTTGGCAAGTCGGCAAATCCCCTGTCAATTGTTGCAAAACTAATACGGTCGTGTTTATATTGATTAACGGATCCGTAGGAGATCGCAAATGAATAGCACACGCTTCTTTTACCTGCGCAGATATTGAATTATTGATGCCCGAAACTTGGGCATGCAAGGGTTTCGATGGCAGGTTGATTCTTCGTTTGAGTCTTTCGGTTATGAAAGAACACTCAGAACCAGAATCAATGAGCGCTCTCGCTGAATAGTTTACACCATTATGATGAATGTTTTGCATGTGGGTTTTTCCACGCTGGCTTGGAAGGCGCCAAGCCTTTTTGGAGTCCATTCTGAAGACTGATGTATGTTTTGTGGCTTAGGGGCTTTATTTGGCTTGCTCTCCCTAATGCCTTTTACTGTCTCCAGGGTCTGAAACCTTCTTGATAAGAAATTATCCATGTCCTCCCACTTTGATACTTCCGTTCTTTTCTCTATGGTTTGCTCCCATAGTGCCAGTGTATGTTCTGGCAGTTTTGTCGAGCACAGATACGTGAATATCGCATCCCAGCTGGAAACGTCAATCTGGTGACATTGAAGTGCCGAGATGCAGTTGTTGATATCACGTTGCAGCTTCTTAATGGAGCTACCGCATTCACTCTCAACTGCTTTCAAATTAAATAAAATCCTCAATTGACTATTGACCAGGATACGTTTGTTTTCGTATCTGTCGCATAGATTTTTCCATGCGGTTTGAAAACCATCATTGGTCAACTGACATCTTTGTACAATTTCTTTGGCCTCCCCTTGCGTTTTTTGCCTGAGATGGTACAGCTTCTCAACAGGGGTAAGGCGCTTATTAAGGATATATATAGCCGTAAACATATCCCTAAATGATGGTCATGAAAGGTAATCCCCTTTAAATATATCTGTGTCACACGGAGGCAGATGAATATTGAGCTCGCGACCAGACATATACTCACTTTCTTTTCCGGTTCATTTATTTATTTATTTATACGGAATGTTAGCCGTATCTTATATATGTGTGTGTGCACTCAGATACAAAATTATTTAACGCGCATTAGGGTGGTGCAGCATATTAGGTATGGGCCTAAACACATATAAATCACGAAAACATTGGCGATTTTTGTGTCAATAAGGATAATGATGCCCACTATAATGTTGCTAGCAAACTCGATAACAATAAAAAACGCACAGTTCTAATCGACGGTATCAATATCGGTGATGATATCGATAATGAGAACGATAAGTTATCGATTAAAAGAAATTGTCATAACTACAGCGTTAAATATGCCGATAACGATAGCAATTAAAAGTTTCTATTACAATAGCAGTGATGATTGCAATAAAAATAATTATAGCGAGGCGATTACAATAATAACTATCGATAACGCCATCAACACACCGATAAAGAGTTTCCTGTAAAAAAACTTTGACGGTGTACTAATATTTCGTATCGCTTTTCTTCTAAAAGGTAGAAAGACAAATTATTGCCCTTCAATTTGTCTTTGGTACTTAAACTAGGTGGAACAATCTTCCTCCCGACCGCAGTCGGGTCAACGTTAACGGAATGATACAGATTTATTTCTGGCTAAAAGTTTGTAACTCAGCGGAATTTCGCAGCTCTTTTGGGTAGTTTTCTTCTGCTGTTTCAAGGGCAACAACAGGCGTACACCTTTTTTTATTAAAGAGCAGTAAACAGATTAGATGTATAAGCACTTACGAAGTTTAATGTAATGCTTTGAAGATATACGCCAACATTATTTCTCGAAGTCTGCTATGAACAACTACATATGGATGATAAATATATATCCACCGCTGAAATGCGAAAAAATCCGAAATAACTAAAAATTTGTATTTCATAAAACGATATAGGGTATTGTGGATTTTTACAGCTTTTTGTATTTCAGCGACGATGTGTGTGAGATAGGGCCTTTCTATATTAAATTAACGATATGTAAGTGCTTCTGCATTCTATTTATTAACCGACTTCCAAAAAAGGAGGAGGTTATCAGTTCGTCGGAATATTTTTTTTTTTTTTCTTATGTATGTTACCGCATAACTTTGGACCACGTCAACCGATTTCGATAATTCTTTTTGCATCGAAAAGGTAGTGTCTCAGAGGTGGTCAGATCTGGTTGAGATCCGATCAGTGGATCATGAGATATATATATACATATTTTTTTTTATATGGGAGTTGCGGTGGTTTTTTTTTTGCTAAAAATTACTAGTTATAAAATCTGTTCCCTGAAAATATTTTCAGTGCACTAAACGGATTGTTCATTTATTTATTCATTTTCTATTTTCTGAATCAATATTTCCCAACAGCTCTACCTAAAAATAAATTCTTCAAGTAGTTCTTTAAGCACAGTTGTTCCGTTCAGTTGCAACCATTCATACAGTCGCCGCCATGGCTATGTATCAGTGCCGTAGCTTGTTTTTGGCATAGCAAATGAAGCTTTTTATGCTTTATTGTTTCACAGGCACTTTTTTTCACTTCAAACCGCCTAGACAATGCGCCCAGGCAACCAATCACTTGACAGAGCTTAAGTTGAAATAAATACAACGATGGCACTACCCTACTGAAGGCATATTAATCTTGTAGTCAAACTAGTGGATAACTTTATATAAGTAGGTGCATATGCTCAGTAACATACAGCAAGCCAATGACAGCGTACATTTAAGTCGATATATTTACATATGTACATACATATATGTAAATGTGTGTTGCATAAATCCATTGAAACTTAAATCCCCAGATTTTTATTGTATTAAATGATATATGTAAAAGCTTTCAACAGTCGACGACTGGAGAGCACTCAGTATCCTTTATTGAGTTGCAGCGAATATGTCCCCACATAATAAACAATCGCATGTATGCATCAGTACGCATATACGCTAGTACCTACTGCTAAACCATATCGTTTATTTCGCTATCATTTATCTATGAAAGTATCTAAAAATTTTTGTACTTTTTTGTACCTTACCTGTTCATATACATAAACGCATATAAATATTTATATTGGCATGCGTACATCCACTTCTTAAGTACTCGTATGTGGCTACATATTTCTCTCAGCTACTTAGTAGGCAGACAAATGCGCCTTTTTAACTGTCATGTCTAATTTCATTATCAGCTTGTTATGATCTTGAGAACCTCATTGCCTTTCACAAAATGTGGACAAAGACAACAGCAGCCGCAACAGCAACAACAACAATATACACACCAGTAGCAACAACTTCAGTGAAATATGTAATAAGAATATATGTATGTATGTATAGCACTCTAATTGTGCCAGCAATCTAGTCTGAAGTCTCTTTTATGTGCGTATGCATGAGGATGTGTATCTCCTCTGCAACAATGTATCGATATAAAGACATATACTTCTTCTTGTTTATTGTGATTTTGTGATTTCTTGCTTCCTTATGTTCATGATCGCATATCAATTTCAGCAAAATAATATATCAGTTGCATTCTCTTTGATTCTAATCGCGGTTCTGGTAGCACTTCAGCAACGACAGTGATGAGAGCAGGAAAATTTAGTCAGCTGAGTAGTAGAAGTAAGTAGCTATGTTATTTGAAGTTCCATTTGTTTAGGTATTTAAGTGAAATTTAGCCTTAATATGAGATTAGTTTCGCAAGTCTCTAATTTGTTCACTTTTCCATTTATTTGCTTTAAATATATTAACCGGAATTTTTTGATTTCCATTTTTTAATAATTGATAATCAATTTATGTAAAAGCTCAGTTATGCAAGACTTAGACTTCACTTGACTTGAAAATTGTATATCTGGCAAATGAGCAGCGCGTGTATGTAGTTAACCAAAAAAATAACTTCACTTAGAAACTTGGAGAACTATAAATTTTTGATTTCTAATTTAAATTTGTAAGTGCAAAGAGAGCCGTGAGAGAATCATGCTGCCACATCATTTTTTCATACATTTTTAATAAAATTCCTCCAAACATGCCAAAGAAATATGATTTTTTGTATAAATGAAATTCATCTGGCAATCGAAAAACAAACTTTCAAATAAAGACAGAAAATAAAATAAAAACAATCACAATTTGATTCGCTTGAATGTATTTATTTCAATTGTAATTTTTATTCAATTTTACCTCAAACAAATTAAGCGTTTAAGATTTTTCGTGTACAAATACAAAAGCTGAGGATAAAGAAATCGAGAAAACGCAGTAGATGACACGGAGAGTAATCGTTTCTAAGTTTCTAGGTAAGTCAAGTCAAATCTAAGTCTTGCATAACTGAGCTTTTAGTCTTTTCATTACCTTTTAAAATTTTCTCTCGATAATTCAAAGTTTTTTTAAATTTCTCTTTTTTGGAAGTTTTCGAAACCTCTCTGCATTTTCCGTTATTCTATTGGGGCTCCTTTATGTTTTATTATTCAGTAAATTTTGGAAATTTTCGAGAAATTTTTTGTAGGTTTTATAGTTTTTTAGGAATTTTTCTGAACTTGATAAAAGTTTTGTATGAATATTCGGGAACTTTTCGAGATTTTTCGGAATTTTCCGTGGCTTTTCAGATATTTTTGGGATTTTTAGTGGCTTTTTGGAGTATTCAGATTATCTATTGAAATTTTCGTGATCTTTTCGAGCTGTTTCGAAAATTTTCGGCATAATTCGAGTACTTTCGTGGCTGTTCGCAACTTTTTGGAAGGTGTTGAAGATTTTTCTAAAATTTTCATATTTTCTTAAGGACGTTTCGGCATATTTCGAACATTTTCGGGACTTCTAGGAAACTTTTCGTAAATTTTTGATATTTTTTTGGTACTTTTCTGAATTCTTCAGATGTTTTCACGACGTTTCGGTATATTTTCGGGCACTTTCGGAAACTTTTCTAAAGTTTTTGGAAATTTTTAAGACTTTTTTTGAACTTCTCAAAGTTTTCTAAGACGTTGAGTGTTATTTTCGATATTTTTCAACTCTTTTCAGTATATTTCATGCACTTTTATGGCGGTTCGGAAAATTTTTGAAAGTTTTTTAAAATTTTTCTAAAACTTTCATATTTTATTCAGAACATTTCGGGATCTTTTCAAAATTTTTCATAAGTTTTTGATGTTTTTGCGTATTTTTCTGAAGATTTTCTTCAAGACCTTTCGGAATATTTTCGAAAATTTTTGGGCACTTTCGCGAACTTTTCAGAAATTTTGGAATTTATATTCAAGAATTTTATTGAGCTTGGAGCCGTTTTTAATGAAAAATGGTTTTTGGGATTTTTGTGTACTTTTCTCTTTTTCTTCGGGGCCTTATGGGATGTTTTCGAGACTTTTCAAAATTTTTTAAAATTTGTCGGTATGTTTCGGGAACTTTCGGGGCTGTTCAGAACATTTCTGTTTTTAATGATTTTTATACATATTTTTGATTTTATTTGAGATTTTTCCGAATCGGAAGTATTTGCGCTTTTTTTAGGATTTTCGGGACATCTCTGAAGTTTTCAGTTTCGGTATATATTCCGTTTTTGGTGATTAATTTTTCAGATAGCTTAAAGTTTCGTACTGTCAAGCTCTTCATATCGTTGGAATAAATATCACTTTAAATTCCTTCTACCGAATGAGGTTCTAGCAAGGCTTCCGAAAGCTGATAAATATGGTTCCTAAACATTTTCTAACACATCTCAAAACCACTTGGATGTATCGTTCTTTTAATTGAGGATGCTTTCTTGGTACTAACATGCATAGGTCTTTCAAAAATTTTGAAAATAATAAAGGCTTTATAATTATGTTTGGGATTTCCTTCCCAAATGTTACCCAAACAAGGGTGTATCTATTTAATAAAAATAACAAAAGTAAAATTTCAATAAAAAAATTAGTGTTTCAGCCCTCAGCCTCGCCTACTAAATACAAGTCAAGGTACATATATTTTTTACTGCAACTAAACTAACTATAAGCCGTGCATTTTAAATCCACACGCATACTTAGGGACTTCTAAGTCTTTGGCGATTTTTACGCGCGAGAGGTAAGTCGCATGCAGTCATATGGGCGGGAAACCTCATCTCAACTTCTCAGCAAAACAGCTATAGCAAACCGTTTGGTGGCTTGCCACTTGTTTGTTGTGAAAAGCCGAACTTTTGCTGGTGGCTTGGCGGCCAAGAGTGGCATTGAAGATGCTGATAGTTATACAATGTACTAAACTAATGTAAACAAAAGCAAATAGAAGTAAGAAGAAGCGATAAAAGCCCGTTTGTTGTTGCTCTTGATTGCACAGTTAAACAGTTAGAAATTCAATAGCTAACATCAGCAGCAGCAGCAGCAGCAGCTATAGCGGCTCCACTGCATGTACCAGGCTTGAGTGTCTAGAGCAGTATTTATCTACTTATGTGTGTAGCTGATGATCAGGCATGGGCAGAGAGTTAGCAGGTGCTAAAAGAGCGTAAGCGTTGCGTGTACCTATACAAGCGAGAGCGCATCGATGAGAACACGACAGCATGCAAAATGAATTAGGTACACTAACACATGCTCACTTTTAGCTCACGCTTGTTTGTGGTAGTGCCCACCTCTGCTGATGATGCACAAACACACACACACAGACACCTCTAGCAGAAGCTGTTATTTGTTTTCTTTTATTTTTTTCGCATTTTCGTTTGTTTTGTAATTCACTGTTATTGCACAAAGTTGCTTGCTGCACTCAACTTGCACTTCCAGCAGAACAACCACTTACCAGTTTAAAGCGGATTAGAAGCTTTCAACAGCTTTTGGTTTGGTAATTTTCCTTCACTGGCGGCGGCATCTTCGTTGGCTGGCGTTTGGTTGGTTGTTTGGTGGGTATGTCCGTTGATGGGTTTCGGATTAGCGAATTATTGACAGAAGTAGCACAGCGCTTTTGTAGCAACAGGTTGTTGCAATGCAATTAAATTTGAAAAACAAAACAAAAACAGAAAAAATTCGTTGCGGCGCTATTCGCTATTCGTATTCGTGCCTTTTCTATTTTTCTATTCTTTTTATTTTCTATTTATTTTTATTATTGTTATTTTTTTTTTTAAGAGCCATAAAGCCAATCACTTTAATTGATTTTTATTGCTTCGAGCAAGTGGTAAAAACCGGGCTTGCATTCCAATACATTCTAATACTCGGATTTAAGGCGCCTTCGCTTTGGCACCGATATGCTTTTGCTGCAATTTATCTTCGCCTGTTTTCACAGGAATACGGAACCAAACACTTGCTTGAGCTTGCGGGTGTTTATTTAAATTGTTTTGGCATTGAGAATTTCGACTGTTGTTGCGTTTGACCTTGGCTGGTTGTCGTACGTGTATTGCAGTAACTAGTTAAGATGCAGCAGAGAACGTTGTAGCAGATTTTTTTGATTTATGTTGAAGGATATGTAAATTAAGGAGGTTAAAAACTAGAGCATAATAAAAATCGATTCATCAGCATTTTCGTTAAGAAACGTACGTATTTTTGTGTTGTTTGATACCCGTATTGTAATATTTCATTTCTTTTATCAATTTAGTAAAAAGAAATCAACAGCTGGCAACCCTTTATGTTCGGCTGTAAGCATTCCTAAACCTCTTCAGTTTGATACCCATATTGCAATATTTAATTTATGTTATCAATTTAATTAAATTAAAATTTTCAAACATGTGGCAGCCTCCACTACAACAATTTTGGCTGTAAGCCTTCTTAAATCTTTTTCTTTTGACAGCCCATATTTTAATATTTACTTGATCCTATCAATCATAACTGAAATCATAAACTGAAATTTTCAAACAGGTGGCAACTCTTTGATTTTTTTTTTTTCTATATTTTAGGTTGGACCTCTAGCAATATAGCGGTGAAAGCTGCATTCAATTTCATGCATTATTTTTCGAGTGATACGCGTACAAACATACAGACAGTCAGATTAAAATTATAAAAATTGTCGATTTGGCTTCTATTGCTCTAACAAAGACCCCCGTATTAATTTTTGTTTAATATCTATATCTATATACGGATATCGGCCTTCTACAATTTTACTATATGTACAGATTTCTGTCTAAGCCTTTTAACCTATAACACTTTACCTCGAGGTTACCTTTCTTTTTGATTTTTAAAAGTGATCTCCTCATTCGATGGATCCCAACTACATTTTTGTTTTTCCATTTATGTAATATTCCTTTACTTGTTCATGATATTTTTTTCAGTTGCCTTCAATATTGTTATTTTAATATTTTTTTGTCTACCTGCTATTTTGGGTTATGATCTGACCAGGTATTTAACCATGGTCCTATGGAGTGGAAGT